TCTACCCACATGTACATATTACTTCAACTACCTCAACTAGCTGGTGCCCCCGCACATTGACTCTGCACCGGTACCTCCCTGTATATATAGCCTCCCTACTGTTATTTTATTTTACTTCTGCTCTTTTTTTCTCAACACTTTTTTGTTGTTGTTTTATTTTACTTTTTTATTAAAAATAAATGCACTGTTAGTTAAGGGCTGTAAGTAAGCATTTCACTGTAATGTCTGCACCTGTTGTATTCGGCGCATGTGGCCAATACAATTTGAATTGATTTGATGATGGCAGATGAATGGCACGACAATGGGCCTCAGGATCTCGTCACGGTATCTCTGTGCATTCAAATTGCCATTGATAAAATGCAATTGTGTTCATTGTCTGTAGCTTATGCCTGCCCATACCATAACCCCACTGCCACCATGGGCACTCTGTTCACAACGTTGACATCAGCAAACCGCTCACCCACATGACACCATACCCGCTGTCTGCCATCTGCCCGGTACAGTTGAAACCGAGATTAATCCGTGAAGAGCACACTTCTCCAGTATGCCAGTGGCCATCGAAGGTGAGCATTTGCCCACTGAAGTCGGTTATGACGCCAAACTGCAGTAAGGTCAAGACCTTGGTGAGGACGACGAGCACACAGAAGAGCTTCCCTGAGACAGTTTCTGACAGTTTGTGCAGAAACTCTTCGGTTGTGCAAACCCACAGTTTCATCAGCTGTCCGGGTGGCTGGTCTTGGACGATCCCGCAGGTGAAGAAGACTGATGTGGAGGTCCAGGGCTGGCGTGGTTTCACGTGGTCTGCGGTTGTGAGGCCGGTTGGACGTACTGCCAAATTCACTAAAACGACGTAGAGAAATGAACATTCAATTATCTGGCGACAGCTCTGGTGGACATTCCTGCAGTCAGCATGCCAATTGATTGCTCCCAAAAAACTTGAGACATCTTTGGCATTGTGTTGTGTGACAAAACTGCACATTTTAGAGTGGCCTTTGATTGTCCCCAGCACAAGGTGCACCTGTGTAATGATCATGCTGTTTAATCAGCTTCTTGATATGCCACACCTGTCAGGTGGATGGATTATCTTGGCAAAGGAGAAATGCTCACTAACAGGGATGTAAACAAATTTGTTCACAACATTTTTGAGAAATAAGCTTTTTGTGCGTATGGAACATTTCTGGGATCTTTTCAATCAACTCATGAAAAATGGGACCAACACTTTACATGTTGCGTTTATATTTTTGTTCAGTATAATTCCCCCAGCTCTTACAAAGGTAACTATCCCCTCTATCAAATAATTGTTATTCATGATCTTTGACACGTATCTGTCTAGTAATAGGCCTATGGCATTCCCTTATAAACCTACATATTTTACTGATACATCTGTAAAAAGAGAGAGACCCCCGATATGGGTAAGAGTAGATTCATAAACCAATAAATACCCTGGTTTAATGTTTTGTGTATTACATTTCACAGTTTCGCACACAGATTTGTCTTTACATTGATACATGAACCCACTCAACCCAGTGGGCATATTTTGGACAATATTTGAACACTTGAAAAATTGGATGTTCCTTTAACAAGAAAACATGATTTACACTCGAAAACAACGTCCTTATGACGTCCCATGCCTATTTTTGCGCGCTGGGATAGTACAATGACTTCACATCTTCTCTTGTGACTACTGCACTTTTCCCTGGCTGAACACTGTCTGAACACTGGAACACAGACTGTAGGCTATTACAAGACAGCCACTTAAAATAAAGTTATGGCAGCGCAAACAGAGCCTGGTTAATTCTGATATGGTCTCCACAGAGAGGCTCTGATACCCATCAGGGCCCAAGACTTATCGGCGGTGACAAACCCTGTTAGCACCCGGCCCTAGAGTGCTGCGACTGGGAACTGACTGTGGGAGGGAGAGGGAGGACGCTGTAGGCTAAACGGCTCATGTTTAGATGAGATCACAGTGTGGCAGCTGCCTGTGAGCAGAGGAGCATGTGTCTGTTTTCTAATAGAAACAATGTCATGTTCACAAGCAGCACAAGAACACTGTAGGTCACATGATCCAGATAACTGATGGAGATAAGCACTCACGCTAAATGCAGGTAGATCCATTGATCTTTTGTTAAAGTCAATTTGTTATGTTGTAAAATACCAAACCTCTTTTCTTTGAACGTTTCAAGAGCACAGAAACTGTGGATAGTGCTTGATTGGCCCTCTAGCATAACATAAACAGCAATAATAATGAGTGTAGGCCTTAACCTTTTAGAAGCATAAGTTACTATATTCTACTCTATAATTCAGAACTGAACAATAAGAAAATACTTAATATGAAAGGCTCCATTTGTACTGATTAGCAGCAGTAGTACACCACTTCAGAGGCAGAGCACCAAAGACCAGTGTATCAGAACTAGAGCTTTAGTGACACCATGTGGTGATGATACGGCATTACAATTAATTGCTGTATTTTTTCCCCCTGATCAGTCACATAAACAAATCAAATCAAATGTTATTTGCCACATGCGCCGAATACAACAGGTGTAGACATTACCGTGAAATGCTTACTTACAGCCATTAACCAACAATGCATTTATTTCTTAATAAAAAGTAAAATAAAACAACAACAACAAAAAAGTGTTGAGAAAAAAAGAGCAGAAGTAAAATAAAATAACAGTAGGAAGGCTATATACAGGGGGGTACCGGTGCAGAGTCAATGTGCGGGGGCACCGGCTAGTTGAGGTAGATGAGGTAATATGTACATGTGGGTAGAGTTAAAGTGACTATGCATAAATAATTAACAGTAGCAGCAGCGTAAAAAGATGGGGTGGGGGTGCAAATAGTCCGGGTAGCCATGATTAGCTGTTCAGGAGTCTTATGGCTTGGGGGTAGAAGCTGTTGAGAAGCCTTTTGGACCTAGACTTGGCGCTCTGGTACCGCTTGCCATGCGGTAGCAGAGAGAACAGTCTATGACTAGGGTGGCTGGAGTCTTTGACAATTTTGAGGGCCTTCCTCTGACACCGCCTGGTATAGAGGTCCTGGATGGCAGGATGCTTGGCCCCAGTGATGTACTGGGCCGTACGCACTACCCTCTGTAGTGCCTTGTGGTCGGAGGCCGAGCAGTTGCCATACCAGGCGGTGATGCAACCAGTCAGGATGCTCTCGATAGTGCAGCTGTATAACTTTTTGAGGATCTGAGGACCCATGCCAAATCTTTTCAGTCTCCTGAGCGGGAATAGGCTTTGTCGTGCCCTCTTCACGACTGTCTTGGTGTGTTTGGGATAATGGTGTTGATGTGAGCCATGACCAGCCTTTCAAAGCACTTCATGGCTACGGACGTCAGTGCTACGGGTCGGTAGTCATTTAGGCAGGTTATCTTAGTGTCCTTGGGCACGGGGACTATGGTGGTCTGCTTGAAACATGTTGGTATTACAGACTCAGTCAGGGACATGTTGAAAATGTCAGTGAAGACACTTGCCAGTTGGTCAGCACATGCTCGGAGTACACGTCCTGGTAATCCATCTGGCCCTGCGGCCTTGTGAATGTTGACCTGCTTAAAGGTCTTACTCACATCGGCTACGGAGAGCGTGATCACATAGTCATCCGGAACAGCTGGTGCTCTCATGCATGCTTCAGTGTTGCTTGCCTTGAAGCGAGCATAGAAGTGGTTTAGCTCGTCTGGTAGGCTTGTGTCACTGGGCAGCTCGCGGCTGTGCTTCCCTCTGTAGTCTGTAATAGTTTTCAAGCCCTGCCACATCCGACGAGCGTCAGAGCCGGTGTAGTACGATTCAATCTTAGTCCTGTATTGATTCTTTGCCTGTTTGATGTTTCGTCGGAGGGAATAGCGGGATTTCTTATAAGCTCCTTGAAAGCGGCAGCTCTACCCTTTAGCTCAGTGCGGATGTTGCCTGTAATCCATGGCTCCTGGTTGGGGTATGTACGTACGGTCACTGTGGGGACGACGTCATCGATGCACTTATTGATGAAGCCAGTGACTGATGTGGTGTACTCCTCAATGCTATCTGAAGAATCCCGGAACATGTTCCAGTCTGTGCTAGCAAAACAGTCCTGTAGCTTAGCATCTGCGTCATCTGACCACTTTTTTATTAACCGAGTCACTGGTGCTTCCTGCTTTAGTTTTTGCTTATAAGCAGGAATCAGGAGGATAGAGTTATGGTCAGATTTGCCAAATGGAGGGCGAGGGAGAGCTTTGTATGCGTCTCTGTGTGTGGAGTAAAGGTGGTCTAGAGTTTTTTCCCCTCTGGTTGCACATTTAACATGCTGGTAGAAATTAGGTAGAACGGATTTAAGTTTCCCTGCATTAAACTCCCCGGCCACTAGGAGCGCTGCCTCTGGATGAGCATTTTCCTGTTTAGTTATGGCCTTATCTTATAATCTTAATGCCAGCATTGGTTTGTGGTGGTAAATAGACAGCTATGAAAAATATAGTTGAAAACTCTCTTGGTAAATAGTGTGGTCTACAGCTTATCATAAGGTACTCTACCTCAGGCGAGCAAAATATTTTTTACATTTTTTACATTTTAGTCATTTAGCAGACACTCTTATCCAGAGCGACTTACAGTTAGTGAATACATATTATTATTATTTTTATTTTTTTATACTGGCCCCCCATGGGAAACGAACCCACAACCCTGGCGTTGCAAATGCCATGCTCTATCAACTGAGCTACATCCCTGCCGGCCATTCCCTCCCCTACCCTGGACGACGCTGGGCCAATTGTGCGCCGCCCATGAGTCTCCCGGTCGCGGCCGGCTGCGACAGAGCCTGGATTCGAACCAGGATCTCTAGTGGCACAGTTAGCACTGCGATGCAGTGCCTTAGACCACTGCGCCACTCAGGCGCAGTGGTCGCGACCGGGAGACTAGAGACTTCCTTAGTATTTGATTTTGTAAACCTCGATCAACCTAGAGAATTTAAATTATACTTTAACTAATGTAATATCCGAAGCATTAGTGACCAAGGGAAGTATAACTGTACTCACCTGATGCTGAAGCAAAGCACCCTGGGATGTGAGGAGACCACAGTGTGCTGTAGATGACCCCTTCATGACCCTGGAGGGTGCAGAGCGACTGGCCGCCATGGCTGAGATCCCACTGTTGGAACAACAACTCCACTCATAAAAAAATTAAGCCATGCTATTTTTCATCCAATCCAGTTTGACTATGAGTGCGTGTGTGTGAAGCCACTACTACCACCACCATGTTGAAACGCACCACTTTGGCTGTGCGGTCCCACGAACCTGACACCACCAGGTTCTCCTCCCGGGTCTGACTCCAGTCCACAGAATAGACCTGGGAGAACAGGAAGTCCATCAACTCAAACTACACTAGCAGCAAAGGAACAAAAAAAAATTCACACATTGATAATGCATGGACCAGTAGGCTACAGTGATAACATTGTCATTTAGTAATTATACTGTACTTACAACAGTATTACAATAACGCATTGTAAGATGGGATCCTAAAATTGTATGCTTATAATAGTTACATTGGTAATACGATGATAAACTCATGCAAGGTAACAAGCCCACCTCCTGTGTGTGCTCTTTGAGCACCTGCAGTGGCCCGGGCTGGGGGTTGGCTGTGTCCCAGACCTGCAGAGACCCGTCTCCTCCTCCCGTTACCAGCATATGCTCATTACTCTCACTCCACGTCACGTCAAATAGACCATCATTCCAGTCAAAACTACATGAAACAGAGGTAGCAATACGGTGAGAGGATGCACCAGCGGAGTTGTTTCAGTGACTGTTGATTGTGTGATGTATTGTTGTCAAACTGTCAGTATGAGAAATGCAACGTTGGAAAGTTGATTACCTTTTCACAAGAGAGATCCCTGTCTCGGTCTGCTCCAGCACAAGCAGTGTCCCAGATCCTTGTACACACACACTTAATTAGAATAAATGCAAGTAAGCATTGCATTCATTTGCAACAATTTGTCTTGGTTTCATGATAACACTATGGAACCTAGCTAAAAACAATGGCTGTCATATTGTAATCTCCGACAGTAATCCACAATAAATACACACTGGCAGTCTAGCACCTGTCAATCACAATGTGACATTTTCCCGAGCCCCGCTACTCGATTTCTTCGTGACGAGACTAATTTATTGAATAGCTTACACAGCTTAATCACCTGCAATTCCATAATACTGGGATGTCGCACACGCCAATCGTGTTGGAATAAACGGTGATATCTCCACTGCATAGCCGTGTCGAGCTGGGAATTTGAACGTCTTCATAACCTTTCAAGTCGTTTGGTGGGTTGTACTAGCTACTATGTCACTGCGTCATCAAACAGAGCAACACTTGGTTGTAATGTTTAACCTGCCCAAAATAGCTGTGTGTGCGCATACTTTTATGAAAATACAATAGGCTACAATGTAACAAAGCTTTATTCATCAGGAACGTAAATATTGTTAATAAACATTAATCTCTTCTGCACGGTCTCCACACTTCCTTGTTTTGCGAGATCATCACGGAAGAACAAAGATCACAAGCTTTCTGATTGGTGAGTGATTTCTTGCAAGCACCTCATTGGCCGAATGGCTTTGAGCGCTGATTTACTGATCCCAAAACAGCCCTTGTGTTATCATTGAGGGGGTTCGATCAATATCGCCCGTGTAGGCATGTTTTGCACCGAGTGAAAGCTGATTGCATTCATTTTGGAACAGGGCTTACTCCCAAGCGTGAGCCAAGTGCCCCGTTCAAAGCCCATAGCGAATTCGACACAAAACAAAGTGACGTAGGAGCATGTGGAGTAATGAGTAGGATTCTGTTTTCACATGCAAAAGTGATTGCTTTTTAGCTTTATATTCAAACATGTATTTTATGGAAAAGAGATGTAGCTTATGTTTCTGGACGATGCAACATGCTGCCTTTTTGTTCGATTTGAGAGGGAGACCCTCCCTACCCACTTTCGCCCTATGATATAACGGGCCTTTCTTTGGTGCCTCGCGGCTCATCATAATCGAATCTGCCCATTATGAGCAATAGGCTGACCAGGTACTGAGGCTACCACTTTGATCATCGTATAGAACCCAGTCATAGATATTTTATTATCTGGGTTCTCTATTGTCCAAATTCATGTCTATGGATTGGATAATGGGTATCCAATGGTTTAATAAATTTCATCACAAGGTGGCGACATTGCCATGGGTGTCTGCAATCACTCACTTGAACGTATCAACCATCTTCTACTTTATGTAACTTAAAGAATCTCATTGGTCACCTGTAGTGTCCAATTTAAGATTGTTAGGTTTCTTTAGTCTTGGTCTAGTTATTGTTTTTCGTTAGGTAACTTTATATGGTGGGATAAAACTAATCACAATAACTATTTTAAATTAAATAAAAATCACTTTTTGCAACTTCATCACAAATGTTTAAAATAATAATAATTGTATGACTTAGATCATATTGTTGAGTGTTTGGCAATTAAAGTTTGAAGTACAAAATTAGGTATTTAGGCCTACTTACCTAGGCTTGATATTTAATCAGTCTTAAATCTAAGTAAGAACATGAAATCCGTTGAGTTATCAATGTGATTTTTATTTTTGGCGCATTAAGTTGATTAAAACTATTTCACAAAATAACCATAATCATATGGACTCGATAAACATTAGATTTAACAAATGATAAACGATGATGATGAAGCCTACTAAAAGGTGTGCAGACCAGCCCAGGCTAGCCCACAGCATTGGCCATTTGACGTTTCTGTGGATCATGTGCGCCTTTGATTTATGACTGGCACTTCAAAGCGCTCGCGCCGGCGTGAGAACCAGTCCGGAGCAAAGCAGATAACCCGCGGATTTATGACCGAGCGCTGTTCCCATGATTGTCGATGGGCAGCAGGCGCTGTTTGTCTTAATCCCCATTCACTTGGAAATGCTGATACTTTTTCTTTTAAGGAATTTAATGGTGTGACAGTGATTTACAAATGTAAATCTTTCTAACAGACCCAGGATAAAGAGACTGGATTAGGCCAGCATAAAGATCCATCTTGGGAGGAGTGACCAAAGTTGTTTTGCCTTTATACTTCTGTTCCAAACCAGCGGTTTGTCAGGGCTGTTGATACCCTGCATTTGCGTTGACAAGTTCTTTCTCCAAGGGAGAAAATAACAGAACCAGACTCTTTACAGATTCTCTTTTTTCCCCTTTGAATGCCATTAAGCATTGACATAGGCTAACCAATGCAATCAACTAGAGGTGCAGTCTAAAAGTGGCACAATAGACACATGAAATGGATATCTTTTAAAACGTCAAGGTCTATAGGTCCCTATAGTAGATATAATTACAGAACAGGGTGAGTTTTGATGGGAAAGGCTAGAGACATTTTGGTGACTGATTTACAACTCTGTGTATAGGCAGTGCCAGACAGTGCCAGTTATGCAATTGTACTTATGTGTGTCTCTCTTAGGGAGTTTTGTTTTTCCCATCCTCTCAACAACACATAACAGGAAAGATGAATATTTTCCCTCACCAAAATAGATTAAACATATACTTTGTGGTCTTCAATTTGTGACTTGTAAAAAAAATAGATTTTAATATGGTATTACAGTATTGGCAGTGGCACACACACTGTGATCTGTGGTGAAAACAAAGAAGAATATGCTCTGAGTGGCCAAATATTCAACAAAATGTTTAATCAGTGACATCCATAGAGGGCTGTTTGCATAGAAACCGGTTATATAAAAAGACAAACAAGTTACAGTAGTATCATTGAACTGCAGTTGGAAGCACTATATGCGATGTGTTGTTTTTGTACTTTATAAAGAAAAAAGCTCCTGTCATGTCTTTCCAGCAGCAAATTGAAGTGCATCATACCAAATATGTCTTCCTCTATCTTCAATATTGCTTCTAGTTAATCTAATATTTATACATATTTACAAACTTGTTAGTTCATGGATTTGATTAGATACACACTGCATTGATTCATGCGTTGACTTATTATCTCCAAAACCTTTGGTTCTTCCTCCAACGTTCTTCATTTGATTGATTAGAGCAACTCCAAACTAAAGACACTGCTTTGTTATTGTTAATCCCACTATTTTCCACCAAGAGTTGAGATCAAAGCAAAACAAAACTTCTGCTGGATTTAGTTTCCATTTCACTGATTTTGAAAATAGCCAATTTTGGAGAAACAAATGCACTAAAGCAATAGTGACAGTGAAGAAAATTATGAAAACAAATTGACACTGAAGAGGGAGAAAATGGAGGCTAGAGAGGTCTAATTTGAGTGCTGTTCTTTAATAAAATAAAACATTAGTACATTTTAAGTGGATCTAATTATCCTCTCTCTCTCTCTCTCTCTCTCGCTCTCTCTCTCTCTGAATTTGCACACAGCCAGAAATGAAATAAGCTGGTGGAATAAAAGTCTATGGACACAAAAAAAGCCATAGTTAATAAAACAATCTTGTCCCTTTATCTGTATAGTGTGGAAGGCCTCCAGCCACACTGAGACCTTGTAAAAGTCAAACACTTAAAAGGCTCCCACTTCTGTTCCCCAAGGTCTGTATGGTTTGCTGCTGCTGCTCTCTCGGTCTCTGCTCTGCTGTGAAGTGGATGAGGTGGATATGGAGGGGCTCACAGCTGAAGCTACCATAGATGCTGTACTGCTCACACTGTGAGGTGTGAAGATGGGGAATCCTCCGGGAAAGGACAGGGGGAAAGTCTGGGCCGCAGCAGCAGCGGCCGCCGCGTGAACGGTGGCGGAGAGAGACAGGAGGGAGGTGGAGAGTGGGGGGACGCAGGGTGCCACGCTGCCATTAGAGGGCGCCCTGTGAGAAGAGTCAGTGTGGGAGAAGGTGGCCGTTAGGAGGGCCGAGCCGCGCTGGGGCACCTCCACAGACAGTCTGCTGGCGGTGCTGTCTGAGGAGGGCAGTCCACTGTGCTGGAGGAAGGCGGCGGGGAGGGGGTGGAAGGCGGTGGCCCAGTGGTGAGGGTGGAGCACCTGCTGGTGGTGTGCCATGGATGAGGTCATGGCAGCCGCCTCCCTCTGGGACGCGCAGGTGCTGAGGTGGGAGACCAGGCGCACGCGCAGGGGGTCAATGCTGTCTAATCCCTCTACAGAGCTCAGGTACCTGGCCACCTCCGTCAGACACTCCCTGAAGCCCACGCTCATGAAGTCCATAGCCAGGGAATTGGCATCAAAATACCCTAGAGAGACAAACAGACAGAGGAGGGACAGTGAAAATGTGAATGCCAAGCAACGATAAATACTGACAGTCCCTCTAACGAGCTGTAATGTAGCCAGCAGCTGCTGATGGGAGTGAAGACTAAATGGTGTGGGATGGATACACGCTGGTCTCTCAGGCTGACCATTAGGGCTCTGGCTATGCCTCCAGGCATAAGCTTAACAGTCTTGGATTGTGCTGGGAGGATTGTATGTTTGTTTTGTCTCCCCAGTGCACCCGTTTTTACGCTCACTGGAAACCCCAAACAAACCACCAACAGGGCAGCCTGTGAATGCAACCTTCTCCCCTCCCACGGATTTATGAAAGCAAACACAATGCAGGGTCAAGTGCTCCTTTTGTCCCAGCATCGCTTTCCCACGAGTTCAACCCTGCCATTAGCATTGATTTCCACTTTTTTAATCTTGTCAAAGGGGTCTGCTTGCAAGGATTTCACTACACAGTATAGCAGAAAGCAGAGAGAAGCAGCCAATGAACTCCATACCTTTACCGCCAGTGGTCTGCAGCATCTTTAGGTGATCCACTGTCATCTGCAATATTTCAGCTTTCTCTAATTTGGCAGAACCCTGCAATGAGCAATAGGATGTATGAAGCTTAGAACTCTCATCACTTTTTACGAATAAAATACCCACAAAATGTCATTATCTGTTATTGTTTTGATGAAAATGAAACTTTTGTGTAAGTTCCATTTAGAAATCAGAGAGGATATAATTTAAACTCACTTGTTTTTCAAATGCAGTTGGGACAAGTCGACGTAACTCTGATAAACTATTATTGATTCGATCCCTCCTTCTCTTCTCAATGATCTAGGATAGACAATTATATTATTGCATACTTTGAAATATAACAATTCAAGGCCTATTAATAATACTACTACTAATAATGTTAACAATAATGTGACAATAATTAAATACATGTTTAAATAATAAGCCATTTATAATACAGTATTGAATAATAAGTAACACATAATAATAATGATGGTAATAAACTACTCAATAGATAATTACCCCTCTTCGTTTTTTTCTTGCCATAACTTGGGTTGTTGTTGTTGGGGAGCCACATCTAATAAATGACCCATTGCTGTGTCTGCATGGGACAAACATAATCTATATGTTGAAGTTTTTTCCGGATGAGCAATTATCCAAAACCACACAGTTTAGTATGTGTAATTTATGCATCAATACATCGTTTGATAACACTCATGTAGCATGCACTGATCAAGCAAGAGTCTCCTCTATATTCAAAATACCTTGGAGAGAATTCTCCAAAATTGCCTGCATGTGTTCACGAACCACACAAGGTGAGAATTTGCACTTGTCACCTGAAGGTTTACACCAGAATGAAACTTTTTCTGCATGCACTTTTGCTAAATTTTTCTCAACTGAAAGTTTCATCATCATTTCCCCTGTGGCGCACACGCGGAAAATGAAGGCTAACCTAACCAATTTGTGATTTATATTTACCCATTATTTAACCCAAATCATTTCAATGAACTTACCCAGAATAATTATTCTCACTGCCGACATCAATAGTTTCATCCATGTCGCTGTCAGAAGTACTATCCTCACAAGGCCTCTTCATGGTGATGGCGAGTGTATGTCTTTACTAACGTCTCCGTGGATGGGTGCGCGTCCAGGTAGACTGGTGACAGTGCCTATACAATTCCCTCTGTACAGCTTTCCCACGAACCGTTGGAGCCTCAATCACAGATGCAGGGCAGCGTAGCCGCCCACGTCCTGCTTGGGAACACCCACAGAAGAAAAAACACGCCCCGAGCTACTGAGCAATGACGAGAGAGAGAGGTTTGTGCCGCGGCGCTGGACCAAGTTCCCTAGATAATTGGCTCTGCCCAGTATTAGAAGGCCTACTGTTTTAAAACACCCGCGGGCTGCGAAAAGCGTGAGAAACTGTTTACAGCAACGCGGACTGTGACAAAACATACACAGGGCATAGCGCACTGTGTCAACCATAACAGAACATATGTGTATGGCAGGGAATAATCAATTAGACTACAGTGGCAAAACCGTTAGATGAACTTGAAAAAGCGAAGCAAAAATAGTGAATGAGAGCAAAATATAATACATCTAAAAAAGATGATAACAATAAAAACAACATAATTATTAATAAATATATAGTCTGTGTTAATGTTGGTGAAATCGTTCATCTTCAGTGATAAATTAATTCCTCTGAGCAACTACTCCCCCTCCTGAAACCTATTCACCATGACCAAGTCCTTCCCTACATAAAAAGAGGCCATATCCCTTACCTAGTTATAGGCCTATGTGGAAAGATATAGTGATATACTTTTTCATAATTGATCATATTAGTCTATGACATGGCTGACAAAGGGATGGTGTGTTTGAGAGAAGTTAGATAATCATATGAACGTTTAAAATGGTGGAACTGAACATCCAGACCATCAGCAATCCTAATCTGCCCCCAGGGAGGGGAAGGAAGGAATGTCTATCTGTCTGTAGTGTGTATGACATCATGGACTTGCATGGAGAATGTCAAGAGTCTACACCTGGTCTTGAACTGAAAATGTCTACTCAACATCAAGGACTATAAAAATAGTAAATGGAGACATGGAGGAGCCAAGAACATTTGATGTGAGTTTTGGGGAAAGAGATTTTCACACATCTGAATAGGCTGTTTAGAGACATGCCACTATGGCTGCATTTACATAGGCAGCTCAATTCTGATCTTTTTTCCACTAATTGGTCTTATGACCAGATCTTTTTCAGAGCTGATCTGATTGGTCAAAAGGCCAATTAGTGAAAAAATATTCAGAATTGGGCTGCCTGCCATGCAGCCTATGACCCAAAGCAGAGTTGCAACAGAGAGGGAGTGCTGTTTGGAACTGAATAAAATACATTGGGATAAAGATCAAATAAAAACACAACTTGAACAAAATTATTACGTTGTAAATATAATTGAGGATCCAAAAGAAAAAATGAAATATTGAATCAAAGACATTTTGCTTCTTGTTTTAAACACATTGCAGTTTGTATGAGAAAGGTAACTCCTGCCTAACCCCTGGTGGAGGGTAGCACAGTCTCCCAGGCAGCCTGCCAGTGTGATGACTCGTTCCCACAACTCACCACACTGCAGTGAAACCCAATCGCCGTGTGAGATGCAGCCAGGAACACAGGCTGGGCTGGTGCGACAGGGAGGTTACCACTAGCCAAGCTCCCCCCCCCCCACTGCCGACACCGCTGCTCGTAACCCTATTCTTCACATTGTTTGTGTTTGTTGTATGCCCAATTGAACCCACATGATCTAAAAGCTTATAAATGCACCACTTCCATAATGGGCTAGGGCAACTTTTGACCTTTCACACATTCATTTCTTTTTCAGAACTTCGCTTCAACAGAGAGGTGATCTCTTTGGTGAGATCTTTAGTAAACAGGTTGTTTTTATTCCTGTTTGTTAAATATGTTAATAAATAACTTCAACTTAAGTCAAACCTCACTACTAGAGGGAAAGTACTGTATCTTAGTAAAATAGTAAAAAAACAGATTACTCAAAATTATTTATAGTTATTGAAAAAAAAAGTGTGATTAAATATATTGCAAACTTTGTTTTTATTTCTATCACCATCAGTGATTAAAATGCTACAGTGGGTTTGCACTGTGACCATAGCGTGCACACTCTTTACCCTCTTCTCTTCCTCCTGGGTCTGAGAGGTTGGTCTCTACTCCCCCACCTCACTCCTCCACACCCACCTCCTGCTGAAGATAGGCCAATTGACCTGTCAACACCCCCTCATAGCCCAGTGCCCTGCACAAGCTCTCTCAGGTGTGACCCAGGGAATAGAGTAGTAATTAAAAACATGTAGTCCTACTGGGACTTAGCCTACCAATCCCTCCCATGATGAAAGTTATCCGTACAAGGGATTTCAAATCAGTGTTACTGGAAATGTTTAACATGTTTAATGACTAGTTGTAATCAACTGACCACATTTATCTAAGGAAATCTATAACAATATCAGGTCACAAAGACCATTGAACATTATATCATAGGCAGTTTTGATATTATCATTTGCAACACAAGTGGCAAAGTATTAGACAATTCATTTCACGTGTCCTCCAGATCCTCCAAAACAGTGTACATTGTTGAACATTTAATTTGCCAAAAGGGGGATAAAACTTCCATCTCCTCCTCCTTTATCTGTTTGTTTTCACGTTCCATCCTTGGGAGATAGAAAACAAGTGCCACTGATAAAAACCCAAGACATGACTTGAAAATATTAGTTGAAATATGTCTGCCATCGTCGAGTCTCCTTGACGGTGTCTTGAAACAGTATGTCTGGTGTCACCTCTTAGAATAGTCTGAGAATGAGGCTGATCCAGCCTTGAGTGACGTGCGCAAGGGCATAATGTACTGTGTGTGTGCACGTGCATGCGTGTGTGTGAGAGGGAGAGACTGTGTGTTTGTGTGTGAAAGAGAGAGAGAGTGTGTGTGGAGACAGTGTGTACATGTGTGTGTCAGTGTGTGTGAGAGAGTGTGTGTGTGTGTGAGTCGTCCATTCCCATGCAGGAGGAAGGATTCTCGTCATCCCAAACATACTTGCTCTGTCCTCCGCCCTGCCCCATGCTCCAGCCCCTGCCCCTGTGCTATGTGATGGGGGCCCGGCCCCAGCCCCGGCCCGATGTGCCATGGTATCAGTGGTTCCCAAGGCTGCCCAGCCTGGGAAAGGCTGTGTGGAGTCGTTCCAAAATCAGCATTACATGCATTATTGTTCTTACCCTCCCAGAGTCCCCGGCACACAATGAAAACAACAGCAACAGCCACAGTATCAAGCCCTCCTCCTAACACAAGGCTGCCCTTAGTCACCTGCGAGCTGCGTTCTTTAAACCAAGTTAACTGCTTCATGGTAACATAAGCCGTTACCGGGGCCTCCACTTCCTGCGCTCTCTTTTCTTGGGCTCCGACAAGGACGTCCCCTCTCGCCACTCCCAATATGAGTAAATCCATTACTTATGAAGGGAACTTAGAGCTGTGCCTGTTAAAACCCTGTATTGGGTTCCTTGTATCGTTATTGATTCAGCCCCATAAATTGTCTACTTAATATTTAAATGTCTTCTAGACTTCTGTTCTGGGTGTTTAGAACAATCTGAGACCAATAAATGAATCCGTCACATTTAAAATCAAAACATTAGTGTATATCATTACAACAGGTTAGCTAAAACAACAATCCTGTCCTATCCAAATAATCCAGACTCTTCCTCATTGTTGTCAAAGTTGTCAGAGACAAACGACCCTCTGTTTATTTTCCCTGAGAGTGGGAACGAGCGGTCACTGTGACAATGCCCTGGGCGGGCGGACTCCAAACCTCTTGACTCCAGAGTCATATTATAGGCCCTTTATTAGTGTTTAAGGTCACAGAGAGACAAGCAAGTGCATCCTATATCAGGAAGTGCTGTGGGTCTCAGGAGTGAAATATTTGGCTTTTAGCCGGAGCGGCGGCCGTGAGTCGGATATCCTGGGAAGCGAGAACATGGCAGACGGGGTCCAGGCGTCGTACAGGCCAACGCTGGAACAAAACGGCACAGAATAATAGGTCCCTTCCTGCCATTCACCCTGTCACGCTGCTGTATTTCTGTCAGTCCTTTTTAAAAGCAACACGTCTGGAGTTCCCCCTCGCAGGCACACGCTCAGAGGCTCTGTTCAGCAGCCCACAAATCATCCCCCATTCTGGATTGACATCTCCTAGTCCAGATAAGGTGTGTCCAGATTGCATCATTCCATAGGGTAGGAATGCATGTTCATAAAACCAAGAGAACTCTAATGCTTGAGGACGGGCACATTCACTCCTCTGGTGGCAGAATGTTTTTTAGCAGTGAGAGAGCTTTGGTATCCCAGTGGAATAAGTGGTATAGAACATATTTATAGACATATTACAGACAGGTGCTCCACTCCACTGTTTCTATTTCCTGTCTAGTGACCTGAGTTTCCTGTCAGGATATATGCTTTAGGAAGTATTGGGTCTCCCTACTATGTCTCCAGACCCCATTGTCAAGACCTCCAGACCCCATTGTCCATTTCACCTTTGAATTGCAGTGGCATCCCTTGCCAAAATTAAACGTTTACGATGTTCTTTCAAACGTAAAAAAATAATCAGTTAAACATGGACTGATTGTTGTGTTTGCCTCTAAAAGAAGGAAAGGAACAACAAATTGATGATTTCTGTTCACATAACCTATAACCAGACCCACTACGATGTTTAATGATCCTGGTGATGGTTGCCCCATGGGGATGCACACACACACACACACACACACACACACACACACACACACACACACACACACACACACACACACACACACACAACATGCGCTATTTACACTGGAGGGACTCCCGTGGTAAATGTGTAAAAACAATTATCAGCTGGGAGTGAGGAAGTCATCAGCCACGCATAAAATGACCTGACCACTGTGAAATCACGGCCCCGGCCTGCAGGATACAGCAGTGGTACAGCTTTAGCCAATGAAACTACCTTCCCAATAATATTATAGTCTACTACTGTGGTTCACAGGAGAAAACAAACCAAGAAAGCAGTAAGAGTTACAGACACTGCAGCAGTACATTTGGACCCCCCCCCCCCCCCCCTCCCCACCACCCAAACAACACACACACGTGCTTCTCTTACACTTTGCTTGATCTTCAGAAAGTAAAAAATAACCAAGACCATTAGTACAGAGTATAATAGCTAACTTTTGTCATGCAAGGGGTTTTACATAGACAGTGTTTTCACTAGG